CATCGTTCTCTTCTCTTTGATTCTCGTCCGGATCTGACGGATTGAAACCCTAATTGGCCTTTGATTCGGATATCTAGCGTCGTTAATGGAGGGAGATTGGGATCAATGTTAAGATCTTGATCTTCGATGATTGTGACTCGCAAGTACCACATCTTGGGAGATTGGTAAACCATTGAGCGGGTATGAGCAACGTACAACGCGTTGGAGCTCCATGCATCCCGGAAAATGTCGTCCACTTGAGTTCTGATTCAAACGGAGAGCTGAACATCGTCAGAGACTCTTTCATAATTTTGTTCAGCGCCACCGCCTTCGATACGGTACCACTGAGGAGCGAGCGGACTGACCGGTGGAGTTTTGAAGAAAAGGATGAATGTTGGAATCAGACAGAAAGGGGGCGATCTAAGAGGCCTCAAATTTTTCTTTATATGCATTTTTAGGGTATTTGTGGAGGGACATGGAGATCTTCTTATTTATGTTTATTTTGTATTTATTTTGTCAAAATAATAATTTAATAAATTAATAAATATCTACATGGCAGAGTCAAATGATTGACTCTTTTTCATGTCACAAATTGACATCCAACTCAGCAATAAAACTGCCATGTGAGAGTCAACTAATAGTTGATCAAACAAAAAGTTAACGGTTTGGCTATTAATTTTTTTTAAAGGTTTGGCTATTATATTGTATTTACCCTTCTATTTATGCACATAAACATGTAGTGACATGATAGACAATTGAGGGACAAATGAAGGACGGGGTGGGAGAAGATTACTATTTGATTAGACCATATAGTGGAGAACTCCTACAAAGTGAGAAGAAACTAAGAGAGATGAATAGAGAGATTAGTCAGCAGAGAGAGAAAATGGGGAACAAAGCTCGGAATATGAACAATATCCCAAAATTTACTTACCTGAACAATGCTCTAATCCATGCGATCCATAAGCCATTGTTGGGTTTGCTAAGAACAGAGATAACTAATAGACAGGGATAGAGAGAGCATCGATGGTTTGATGGTGATTCTTCAGCCTCTTCAATTCCTCCTGGATCTTCTACTTATCTTGCTTCCACTTTGCTTCCTTCAACTAGAAACCATCACATCGTTCTCGTAGGCTTTCTATTTTTCTCTCTGTCATACATTATTGCTTCCGACTCCTCTTCCAGCAGACCCACCCTCTGACTCATTTCTAACTACACAATTAAATCTCGACTAAAGCCCAAGTACAAACTTTAGAACAGTGTAGTATACGACAAGCGTTTTAATTGTCAACCCGAGGCGGTTCATGTACTCCTACTCCAATCTCTTAAATTGTTATCTAGCAAACGTTTGGAGTTAAAAGCTAAGGAACTACACTCGTAAACAAGCAAAGAAAGTAAATAACGATGGTTTCAATATGAGAGGCTTCACCCAGGTATTACTCCCCCTAGCATTGCATCAAGGTTAACCGAATGGAATGCTAATGTGGAAAGGTGTGTTCATAAACCGTGAGGAGGTTGCCACTAGTGGAGAAACCCCATTCTCTTAGACGATTAATCATGGAATATCGAATTAAGCTAGAAAACTAGCTCTCTTTACTAATCAACCAAGGGTTGCTAAGACCACTCCCTCGAAAACTAGTCTGGATGGTGAAATAGCGACCACTCATGGTAGGTTCATGGCACTGAATCATTGTTTGAGACTTGCCCTCAATTTCCGTAGATGCGGTGACCCAAGTGGTCAAGAAATCTAGCTTCTTATGGCCCAAAAGAGGATTTCCTCCACCTAGGTCAATTTGAGCTAACTTTGACATATGAAGAACAACACTAAAGAATTATGAAAATTACCCCAAACATTGTATTAAACACAAACCCACACACATAGCATTCAATCCATACAACCTATCGCATTTCTAGTCTAGGGTTCACAACAACCAAGTGAATTGGAGAACTATTTCATGACTAAAGAGAGGAAAACAACAATGAAGAATAGAAAAACCATGGTAAGTTGATTCTCTTAACCCTTAGTTTCTTGGATTGCCTCTTTGGAAGAGAAATATCCATTCTTCAAGCCTTGGGTAGGTCAATAACTCCTTCTTCCTCCTTTGGTTCGTGAATTTCTCTCTCTAGCTCAAGAAGAAAAAGCAAATATCACTTTAGAAGTCCTCCCTTTTTGTTTAAGCTCACTCCTCCTTTAATACTCCAATCGGGTGATTGTCACGGTCAAATGTCACAATCGCGATCTCGAGCAAAAACGCGTCGTTTCATTTATATACTTTACGACTTGGGCAAAAATGTTGCGGTCTCCCATTCGTGAACTTTGACCTGCCCCCGAGGCATGCTCAAGCTACTGGTTCCCGTCAATCTTCACGGTCTGGGCACAATTGTCACTGTCTCCTGCCCGTGATAATGCTCCTCTGGACGTGACTTTTGCATTTTTGTCCATTTCACTCCTTTTTCGCCCTCTTTCGCCCGACTTTCGCTCCTGAGATCAATTTCACCTGCTAAGACATGAAACATGCTAAAAACATGCACAACCTATTGTAAAATTGAACCTCATGCGATGTAAATGCCTCAACATCACAAGAATATGGGGTGAAAACATGTGTAATTAAGCCCAAATCAAACTCCCCTACACTTGGACGTTTGCTTGTCCCCAAGAAAACCAATCTCAAACAAGGTAATATTTCAACCTAAACATCATAATTTAGGGACATATCAAAGGGCACAAAGTAGAGGGTTCTCAATGTCTATTTGACACTGAAATGTGGACAACAACAAGCAATCCTGGCAACCACCACAAATGACATTCGAATATATTAAGATCGTGCAAACGAAAAGTTCTCACCTTGTTCACAAACCAAAACATATCCTGCAATTACGATTCACCAACCATAGTTATCCATGCATAAAGATCACGTCATAGAAACAAACGAATGAGCAAACAAATGAATTATTTACTCACTCTCGACCAGTGGGGCCAGGACCATTTTGATGCAAAAGATGTGCATACTCAACACTCAACCTTATCGTCTCTTCACCATGATGGTAACCTCTAAATGCTAGAGCTCACAAGATGGGTGTCAACACTAGCTTGTCCGGAGGTCTTAGACACTGGTTCAGATGACTAGCTAGGGATTGGACATGGGGAAAAAGACTTTTTGGGTGGTGGCACATAAAGCACGAGGTTCCATAATTCACACAGAACCTAATCTTGAGTCTTATTTTCACCTTCCATTAAAATGTCTCTTTCAATTTTCATTTTATCACATTTTATTTTGGGGTGAATAGCATGTTTGGTCACTGAGATTACTTATTTTTTTCACGAAAATTTTAATTTCATTATGATCATTATAATTAAAATAATATTTCACTTTTTGTCACTAGTCGTTAACTTTCGTCCGTTAACGCTGTCATATTTTGATGAAGAGACTGACAGAAATGCTGAGTCACTAGGTCTGCGTTCTCCTTACCAGTAGTTCCTTTCGACTTCTACCATTTCTCGACCGAGATGAACCTGAGCATGACGAAGCACACGCAGAAGAAATAAGGAATGGTGATTCTGAGCGACAATCCAAGCTTCTAGTGGTTTTTGTTGCTAGAAACAAGGTATGGCAATTTCGACCTGACTGGTTTTACCCGAACTGTTTGACCTGTTTTGGGGCGGGGCGGGCATGGGTATTCTCATCGACCCGACCTGCCCTGACCCGCCCCAATCTCGACCCGTTCTTGCCTAACTTACATGTAATTTTAGTCAAATTACTTAGAATTCTCCTTTTATTACATAATCTTTTAGCTATTATAAAGTTGTAAATTAGTGAGAACCTCAATTTCTCCAACAATTTAACTATATTTTATCATATTATGATTCATTTTTGGTTTTATAATGAATTTAATGAATATTTATAATGCTTTCTGTTGAAGCCACGCAACTCTCAGACCAGCTCCTTCGAACTTCCGTATGATGGGCCTCCCTACAGACGCCCAGATCCTGCACAGATAGATGCCTAAGGGCTTCGGGATGCCCGTTAGCACTCCGACGCTCAAGTCATTCCCTAGTTTAGAGAGAGAAGTATTTTGGGGACCTTAGTGAGAGAAACCAACCTGCGTAAATGCTACCTACCGAGTACTATTTATACTCGTCGAGGCCTCGACCAGGCTCCTAGAATCCAGCTCCACGTCAGCGCGTCATTAAATGCTTGGTACGGCCCAACGGTCGGGCGCCTCCACGTGGCCGCTTCTGGGCTCCTGGCTCCTGGCGCCTACAGGGACCACCTGTCCAGGTGGCACGCTCTAAGCCCGGTGGTCCCTTTTTGTCGCCATGCGCCTGTGGGCCGTTGGCTGGGCCTTACTCCTTGTTTTCAGCCCCATCTCCTAAAGTGGTTTTGGGTCTGAGCCTCTTGGACGGGCCCATGTCCCCCAATGGTCTGCCTATGTATATACCCAACAATTGTCCCCCAGTTAGGCGCTCATGGTATGCCATGAGTGTCTAACTGTATGTAACTCCCCTGCCCATAGTATCTAACCGACTTCACGGTGGTCTGGGCGCCCTCGATAGTTCGACGAGAGCTTGGTCGCTTTAACCGCTTAGGTCATTTCGAGGCGCTTTCCTGAGCGTTTTCGTGAACAACCCTTGTCCCCCCGTACTATGAATCCCTCGTCCTTTGTTTTTCATCCGCGTTTGGACGTACCCAAGGAGGCGCCTAGGCCATTGAGTTAGGCGCCCTAGTAGAGTAATCCCCGGTGCGCCCGTACCCGTATGCCCCCCTCACCGTGCGTTTTGAAATTTGAATTTCAAGTTTTTTTTTTTTTTAAATTCAAAATTTAAACGGACGGTGAGGATGAGATCTGGGGGGTCGGGCGCGCATCCCCGTAGATGTCCGTTGGCCTCCTCCTCATATAAATACCACATTCCGCCTCCTCCCCTCTTCATTCGCACGAATCCTCTCTCTCTCTACCTTGCTCCGGCTTTCTCACTCTAGGTCGAGCTGCCTGTGCGCCTCCCATCCCCGCCTTGCTTCCTCACAATGTCGAACAAATCCGGCTCGGGCGCCCCCTCAACCATCCCGCCGAAAGATAAGCCCTCGGAACCCGATATTTTACATGAGTTGGAGGGGCACTTCTCTCCTGACCCGCTCCGTGAGAAGGGCGCCTGGTCTCCTCGCGCCAGGTCTCAAGCGTCTAGCAAGAGCGACGCCCCCTCAGACGCTACACCAATCAGCTCTCAGGCCACGTCTACACGTGACACTGCGGACAAGGGCGCGGCGGCGCCTCCCTCGAAGCCCCCTGCAAACCCTGCTAGTGACCAATCGGCGCCCTCGAATTCCCAACCAAGTAAGTAACAACCCGATTTTTTTTTTTTTTTTAGGGCCGCCGCCTGTAGTCTATAGGGTTTAGAATTGATACCACCTTTGCATCGACCCTTATAGGCGCCTCACCCGGATCATCACATTCTTCCGGACCGACGATGTCTCCACCGTCTTCGGACTCGGACGCCGATTGGGGTGATTCCCTTAAGCTTAAGAGATGGGTAGATACCTGGCCGTCGGGACAAGCGCCTGACGAAACACACCATCTCCCGCTTTATGAAGGGGGGCCACGTAAAATTTCAACAATAAAATCCTTGGAGTTAGAGAATATCGCCGTGTCAATGCAACTTCCGTGCTCTTGGTCCTATGCGCCTGCCCCCAGTATGGCCCGTATTGCAGTAGTCGGACCTCGATGGCTTGGAATCTACAGGGAGTACTTTCGTTTCGGACTCCGATTCCCCCTTGATTCTATCCTCGAAGGAATTCTGACTACTTGTGGATGTTCGCTTGGGCGCCTGTCCCCCTCCGTTTTCCTTATACATATTTTATTTAAGTTGAAGTGTCGCCAGCATAACGTCGAGCCCACCTTCAACCTATTCCATTATTTCTTCAACATGGTGTATTCCGATAATTGCCTATCACTGCAGAGGCGCCTAGGTCTCCCCGACCATTTTCTAATAGATTGTCCTAAGTTAGGGAGGGAGTGGTTTAGGAGTTATTTCTTCGTGAAGGCGCACAAGGATTCCTTTTATGAAAGTGGCGCCTCCTTCACCAGGGGTTGGGTAATGGGCAGTCATGAGCCCTTTAATGTTGATGTGACCCTTTCCACCGCTGCGGAGATTGAAGGCGCCCGACTCCTTTCTCTATACCCAGTTAACCTTCGCCCCACCAGCTCCCGGGCGCCTGTCTTGGAGGAGTATTACAATGATGGTGTGCGCCTAGTTTTATTTTTTTTTTAATTTTTTTTTTTAAATCTAACCAACCATTTTTTTTTGTGCAGGCTCCAACTTCGGTTCCATGGGTCTACTGATGAAGTCGCGGTTCGCGCAACTTGGATTGGTGGCCAAGCAGGCGCCTACTGCCAAGAAAGGCGGCAAGAAGTCCGGCGGCGCTGCTAAACCGACTTCCTCCAAAGGCGCCGGCTCCAAGCCAGCGCGGGATGCCCCTACTGAAAAGGAGAAGGTTGTCCCTGTTACTAGCAAGGGGCAGGGGCGCCCAAGCAGGAGGGTGAAATCCCCGAAAAAAGTTCAGCCCACGAAGATTCCGAGCCCTCAGGCGTCGGAGCCTTTAGGGGATCTGTTATCTACTGGGGATGCGCCTCCAGTTACCGATCCGGCAGATGTGCAGGCACCCGTATTAGACCTGCTCGAGGGAGCCGATGATCCCGAAGACAACGAGCCTTTAACTCTTAGAAAGAAGAGGAAGGCAGAGGGCGCCCAGCAAGGCTCGGGCAAACTGATGCGCCTGTCCGAGGACGCCGAGGTGCCCGAGGGAATGAAGAAGTGGCTTCAACCTCCGAAGCACAAGGTGGACATAGTTTGCTCCGATCGATCGGCGCTGGAACGGGGCGCCGCCATTCACATGGTCCTGTCTGCGGGGGATGTACTCCGGGCGCCCCTAGACCTGGCGGGCGCCGATCCTTGGGGTGAGGTGGCCCGAATAAACGCCCACGTAAGTTGTTTAACTTGTGTTTTTCTTCGAAAATTTCGTTTACATTGCCATGAAAGGCGCCTGACCATCTTATCCCGCACTTATGCCTATTTTGCAGATGATGTTGGTGGCGAAAAAGGGCATAATTGAGCGCGAGACGCTACGCGCCAAGGCCCACGAGGCCACCACCTCCCTCAGTGTGGCCCAGGAGAACCTTACCACTGCTCAGAGGTGCCAAGAGGAGTTGGTGCAGATGTGCAATGAGGCACAACTTGAGGCTGCTAAGAGCGCCTCACTTGTGCAAATAAAGATTGATGAGGAAAGGAAGCAGGTGCGTGAAGAATTCGAGGGGCGGCTCGAAGATGAGAAGAGGGCGCATGCCGAGATGAAAGTCAGGTTGGAGAAGGAGAAGGATGCGCTTGAAAGGGAGGCAGGCGATCTGCGGAGTGAGATGGACATTTTGAAGGAGGAGAAGGGCGCCTTGAAGAAGGAGAATAAGTCCTTGAGTAGGGAGAATAAGAAGCAAGCGAGCGCAATGCAGGCGCTCAAGGAGGAGAAGCAGGCGCTCGAGAAGGGCAAGCAGGCGCTTGAGGCTGAGAAGGATGAGTTGGTAGCGCAATACGCGGATTTCGCGAAGTCAAGTGCAGGCCAGGCGCTTAAGGCTGATGCGGCTCTGAACAGTATTCTGGTCTTGCGCCGGAAACTTCTCGCTGACCATCCTGACCTCGACTGGGACCTCCAGTCGATGGTGAGCTTCGTCATTTCTCACATAGACGAGGCGCCTGTGGAGGAAGAAGCGCCTGAGGAAGGCGGAGGCGACGAAGATGATGCCGATGATGGTTCTACTGCCGACTCTGATAATGAAGCGCCTGCAGCGTAGTGTCCGACCCTTGTATATTTTTTCCTTCTATTTTATGGTTTGTGAACTCCTTATTATGTTGACTTGCTTTCCTTGCAATGGGCCAAGGCGCCTGCCAAATTATTTCATCCTCGTCATGAATTTTGTTTACGTCTCTTTTAGGCGCCATGCTATATTTATGAATACCCTTTCTTATGATGGGCGCCTAGCTATTCATTTTCTTCGCTAAATTTTGTAACCAAGTCTTGCTATTCAAATGCGCCTTCTTGTTAAACATGGAGGAGCTTCCCCCGTTTAGGCGCCTATGAACTTTCATCATTTGACGGGCGTTTATTTGAGCAACCCTTGCACAAACTTGCATAATTATATCTTGCTATGTTAGGCGCAAACATACGGGCGCTATGTTGGGCGCTATGACAGGCGCAATGCATTGGGCGCAAACATGCGGGCGCTATGATGGGCGCTATAATGGGCGCAACGAGGTAAACTGATGCCTACTTTGGAAGATAATAATTAATCCGATAATGGGCGCAAAATGGGGGCGCTTTACATGGAGCGGGCGCAAGTGGGGCGCTTTACAAAATTTCGGGCGCAAATAAGGGCGCTTTTGACAACTCAGCCTAAACCAAATAAGCAAAACAAGCTCTCCCCAACAAACGCCTTGCTACTTACTCTATTCCTAGACGGGCGCCTGTGCCTCTGACGTGGGCCCAGCACCAGTCATTCCTTCCATTTCGTACCTCCGCAAATTTTGGGCGTTCCATGTCCTCTTGACCCTTTTGCCCGACATGCTTTCCAGCTTAAACGTATTCGGGCCAACAACTTCCTGAATGCAATATGGCCCCTTCCACTTTGGTGCCAACTTCCCTTCCGCAGCATTAGGACGGAAATCTCGTTTCAGCACGAGGTTACCCACAGCAAGATTGTGCGCCCTCATCTTTTTGTTATAATACCTCGCCACCTGGCTCTTCATTGCGACCAATCTTAGGGCTGCCACCTCCCGGCGCTCATCCAATAGGTCCAACTCGTCGATCCGCTCCTGGGCGCCCGTTGACTCGTCTCGGTGAGTCATTCGGAAAGTTGGGACCCTCATTTCCACGGGCAAAACAGCTTCGCTTCCATATGTCAAGGCGAAGGGTGTCTCACCCGTAGCCACCTTGAATGTGGGTCTATGCGCCCACAGAACGTTCGGTAGTTCCTCCACCCACTTGCCCTTGGCCTCCGTCAGCCTGGTGTGCAGCCCATGTAATATGCTTTTGTTTGCCGCTTCGGCTTGTCCGTTGGCTTGTGGGTAAGCTACGGAAGAGAACCTCAATACCACTCCATTCTCATCGCAAAATTCGATGAATTTCTTACAATCGAACTGCTTTCTATGGTCAGTGATGATGGACTCCGGGAGTCCAAATCGAGTGAAGATGTTCTTCTTAGTGAACTTCCGGACCTGTGACTCGGTGATCGATGCCAATGGCTCTGCCTCAATCCATTTGGTGAAATAGTCCACTGCCACGATCAAGTACTTGAATTGACCAGGCGCTTTAGGAAATGGGCCCAGGAGGTCCATGCCCCACTGTGCGAAGGGCCAGGCGCCTACATTACCCTGCATGGGCGCCGCCGGGATGTGGACGTCGTTGGCGTGAATTTGGCACTGGTGACAAGCTGCCACATGTTTCGCGGCGTCCGCCCGTATCGTTGGCCAATAATACCCTTGCCGGAGCAGAACTTTTTCTAGGCTTCTGGCGCCTGCATGCATGCCACAAGTCCCTTGATGGACTTCCTTGATTGCTTCCAAACCCTCACCTTCAGGTAGGCACCTCAGGTAGGCGCCCGAATGTGACCTCTTGTATAACACCCCATCAACTATGGCACACCGGGCCGCTTTCCTTCTTAAGCGCCATGCCTCTTTCGGATCCTCTGGTACAACTCCTTGGGTGAGGAAAAGCCAAATTGGTGCCGTCCATCCTCCTCTTTCCTCCGTTGCGAGAGACGCCATCACCATTTCCTCGTGCGGCACTTCCTTCGTCACAATCACCGTCCGACTTTCCTCAAAATCTAGGGCCGTTGCTAATTTGAACAAGGCATCTGCGTGGGCGTTCTCCTCTCTGGGAACATGGGTGAACGTCACGCCCCGGAACCAGGCGCACCTTTTGCGTACATCGTGCACGTAGGCTCCCAACGTCTCTTCCTTCACTTCATACACTTCGTTCAACTGGTTGACCACCAATGCCGAGTCTGTTTTGACATTCACCTTCTGGGCGCCCAGCTCTCTTGCAAAATGGAGTCCCGCAAGAACGGCCTCGTATTTCGCCGCGTTGTTCGTCTTAAGAGTAGCGAACCGCAATGCCACCTCATGCAAGGCGCCCAGCGGGCTGACGAGGACTATACCAGCCCCTGCTCCTGCCCTGCTGGCCGCTCCATCAACATGCACCTGCCAACACTCCTCCGCACCGGCCCCTCCGTCAGCGACGCCTTCCGCCGTGAAATCTGCCAATACTTGAGCTTTGATAGCGGGTCGGGGCGCATATTG